AGATCGACTGCATGCTCACTCTGATTTCTCATTAAAACAGGTTGAAAACAATGCACTGGGCTCTTTCTCCTCCTGTGTCCCAGCAGCCGGAAACTGTGGGTCAACTCTTAGGACCACAGCAGAAGGTTTCTTCAAATGAACGTGCTCTGAGTGTGAGCAGGAAAGGGGACAGAAGTGCATGCTTTCCAGGACTGAGGTGGGGGTGGAGCACCCAGGAAGACAGCAAACAGCGTTCCAGGGAGGACTCCCCAAGCGCCAGGATTTTTGCAAGGCTGATCCACTCCATCAAGAAGGAACTCTGCTTAGGGGCTTCCCTGGCGGTCCAGTAGCTAGGACTCTGAGCTCCCAATGCAGGGGGCCCAGGTTTGATCCTTGCTCAGGGAACTAGATCCCACATGCTGCAACTAAAACCCAGCATAGCCAAGACTGGCATGCTGCAGGCCAAGGGGTCACAAAGAGTCAGACATGACTGAGCGACTGAACTGAATTGAGATATATATATACATATATCTTTTTTTTTTTTTTAAGGATGAACTCTGCTTAGCCTCATGGGTCAAAGGTAACAGGCTTACATTTTATGATTTGAAACGCTCCGTGCCAATAGCTGGTGGGCAGGGCTCATCTGTTGAATGAATACACATGCGCGTGGCTGCAGGGGTCAGGAGGAAGCCAAGCGCTGGGGATCTGGGCAATGCAATCCACCGCTGGCACCTGGTCACCTTCCTCCCTTTCCTATTGTTGCTCTTTTCTGTCTTCCTGGTATCCTTCCCCTGACCTCTCCCCTCATAAGCCTTCTTAAATTCTTCCACAATTTCACTTCTCTCCCTCTCTGCCTTTTTTTTTTACTCCAAGAAAATGGAAAACAAGCAAGGCTAAGACCTTCAGTCCAAGGCAAGATGCATTTTTTTCCTTTCCCTCAAACTGCTATATTTGAAGTTTAAAAAAAAAAAAACCCAAAATACAAGTTGACTCTCGGTTTAGATCAATTCATTCTAGTGAGCCCATGGTGCTTCAAAACACGGAGTGTTTGAAGTGATTTGACAATTCATTGGCCAGGAACCTGGGACGAGAACTCACTAAATCAGTTGGCAGAGTGGTCCCACTGCCGCAATTACGTGGCCTGTGCGGACAAAACAGGGCTCTTCAGGTTTGTAATTAATTTCTGTAGGAAGAAAAGGTAGGACACAGTGTTCCCTTGATGTTTCTAGAAATAAGCAGAAGAACTAAAGATGTAGGCCCATTTTGATTAGGTTACCTGGGGTCACGAATACGCTTCCTTTTCCCTAATGACATCAGCTCAGGTTTTTCTTCCCACAGCCCTGAGCACTTCTCCACGCCCATCTGCACCTTAAATTCCTCCACCTTTCATCCCTGGGCAGGCAGAGTGAGGACCCCGGGCATCTCTGGCCTCACCCACTGCACCTACAGCATCTTAAAAGCTTCCTGACCTCACTAGCCATTAAAAAAAAAAAAAAAAAGGCACACTGTTCCTCCCTCAGAATGATTCTCATCTCCAAGACTCTAATGAATCAACACAGGGTGAGGAGGAGGAAGGAACGGGTAGGAATGTGAGCTGGCTGGTTCAGAACTGAATGTCAACAGGGAGCCCTTCTCTGAAGCTGTGTTTTGGGCACAGCCCCTGCCCCTGGGGCCTCGGCAGGCCCTCACTGAACAGACAGCCCCAGGGAAGCGTTGCCAAAGCTGTTCAGAACACTGAGCTCTGGGCGGGGACGCCCCGTGGTCTGGCAGCTTGCGTCTCAGCCTGGGCAGGTGAAAAGGAAGGGCCAGATGAGGCTGAGAGCCTGGTGGGAAGTGGGGTCCCAGGTGGGAAAGGCAGGCACCCAATGTCAGGGCTCTCCAGAACCAGAGCCCGGCTCTGCCTCTGGTCCCCAAGGCCACCTCTCTCCCCGCCCTGGGGTCCAGCTGAGAGTCCGTGCTCACGTGCTCCGGTGTGAGAGCTGGTGGGTTCCCCACAGATGCGGGGCGCAGGGCGATGGCTCACACAGACGGCAAGGTCTAATCGCTTCTGGAAAAGACTAAATCTGTTCCTCCCTGCAGGGGCTGGAGAGGGGAGAGGGAGGCCCACCCTGAGGGGTGCTCACAGGGCAGGCGGAGGGCCAGCCAGGTTCGGACACCCGAGGAGGCAGATGGCCCATCCTGAGGCACATCCTTCTTTTGACCCTTCTATTGCTCCCACAAACATCCCTCCTGCTCAGCCTGTCTGCCCATCTACCATCTTCACAGAGGCTCACACACTGGAACAAGTCAAATAACCTTTGCCGTCTCAGAAAGGAAATGCCTTTGCTGAACTATTTCAAGGAGTCCGGAACAGAGCCCACGTCCCACCTCCTCCGTGAGCCTCTGAGGATACACGTTCCTTCTCCCTCACCTTCTCCAGGAAGGACTTATTACAGCGTGAATATTTATGTCTTTCTCTAGCACCCTCTCTTTTTCCCCTGCCCAACAAGACAATCTGCACCCCAAACTCCCTGGGACAGCAAGCATCGACCTCCAAGCAAAGTGGGAGCATGGTGGTACCAGGCGGGCATACCCAGGAGTCAGTGGGCAGCTCCTGCTAATGTGCAAACTCACCCTGCCACGCCTGGCGAGGGAGAGGTCGGGGTGGGCTGCAATGTGCCTAAGTGGTCCAGAACTGAAAAATAAGTTTCTCTGATCTGCCCAAGGTCACTCGGGGAGTGTCCTAGATGGCTCGCTCATGCTCCGTCCCCTCCCCCACCCCCTTAAACACAGAGACGGGCTCTGTCCCCTACCTAAGAAGCATCAACACGACGGCTTCCCAAGCACTGATCAGGCGAGCCTGCAGCTGCTAGAAGAGGTGCTGTGAACTGAATAAAATCAGGAGGTGAATTTGAGGGAGAAACAGCCCACATTTACATAATGGTCTGAGGGCCGAAACTCATCTCCCTTCCCACGGCTACCTCTCTCCCCCAAGCTCGGAGAGAAAACGGCCCCCACGGCATCGCCTTGAGCCGCACACCCATACACACACTAGTCACTCTAGTTTGGGGTGGGCTGGGGGTTCAGTGTGGTGAGGCGACAGGGACGTCTCCCTCCAAGGTCACAGCCCACAGGACAGAGGCCAGCGCCAGCCTCCTCAGGCCACCTGCATCCTCCCAGAGGATGATGAATAAACTCAGTAAGAGGCAGAGGAAAAGGCAAGGGACAGGTTTCCCCACGGGGTACAGACAAGAACAGCCTGGGGACGAGAGAAACCCAAAGAAAGCTTCATGGGAATCAGCCAGGTGGAGACCACAGCCAGCCTGGAAGGGGTGATGAGAGGCCAGAACAGTCAAAGAAGGCGAAGGTGGACAACCCTGGGGACCTGGAGGCAGAGGCAGAGGAATAAGGACCCAGCACACCTGCTTCAGGAAGGGGAGCCAAGAGAGAGAATTCTTTGCCAGATGAAACCCGAAGGACAGAGTGCCTTGCCCTTATTTTGCTCTCCACCCCCCGATCCTCTGCTTTTAAGAGCCAGGACTGACCACAAACTATTTGTCACAACTCCTCCATCATTTTCCCTCTAGCCACTGACTTACTCCCTGAGAGACAAGGTGGGGGTGGGATGGAGCAACGGTGCTTCAGGGTTAGTGAGCGATGACAATAAACCCATCTCCTTTCAGAAGCTCAGTTCCAACACTCGAGTTTGTCAATATTAAAGTACCCATACTTTGTGGATTTTGACTCAAAATCAGCCACAGAGCATCATCTTTTCTCAACACCCTCAGTATCCAGGGGGGGGAAAAAAAGAGATGCCCAGAAATTTCTATCTGCCTTTCTCTCTCTTCATCAAGGTACAGGTGATTAATGTCCTCAGCAGTAAGGGAAGAAGGTTTTCAGGCCAAAAGGATAACAAGCCGAGTGCAGAGATGAGCTGAAGCTCTAGGACTCTGGGTGGGAGCCTGCAGGCAAACTCAGAAGGAGGGCTGGTCTAGGGGGTGGTCTCCATGACTAGGGCAGTGCCCACATTGTGTGCCAGAAACGGAGGCACGTTCCAGGGCAGGGTTCGTTCCTTGAAAGACTCTGCTGAACCATATCCAGCCATTCATCAGAGCTGAGCTTGCATCCCCTGGGTGCATGGTTCCCTGAGTTGTAAAGAGAGACTGGTTTTTCCATTCCCTCAGCTTGGACCTCCCAAGGGGTGCTCCAGAAGCTAGGGTGGCGGGGTGGGAGGTAGTCAGGGTGGAAGCCTGGGCAACCATATCTTGAGCCTTTGGCATAAGTTTTGGCAGGAGGCAGCCCTCCACTGCCTCCCTGGTGTAAGCAGTGAAAGATGTCCACCAGGTTGAGCATAGCAAGAAGCATTCACTCCGAGTTCTGCCCACGGGGCTTAAAAGAACAAGTCCTCCAGTCTCAGCAGGGCAGATAAGCATCCTACTGGGCAGGATGCAATGAAGAGAAACCATCTGCCCTTGGTCAAGAAGGAATGGACAGATTTGAATTCCTGCTTACCCAGGAGGCTCCCTTTTTCTATCACCCCCATCTCTCTAAACACAGGGGAACAGTCAGTCCACACTCTTTTCAGTAAGGTTCCAACACTGCTCAGCTCCCTATATCCAAGACGACTACTCTGGCTTGATTCAGAAAACCAAAAGCAATAAGCGCCTACAACGAGGTGCCCACCTGCCATGAAACCCCTGGAACCCCGGAACCCCACCCGGGATTACGGGAAGGTGTACAATTGCTACACTCAAACTCGGGGATTCCACCAATATCTATTTGGCCCTGTAAATGCCCCTACCAACCAAAGCGTGCGTGTCCGGTTCTGAAGAAATGGAGCAGAGGGCGCCGAAGGCTCTGATTTATTGCCTGTCAAAGAGGCAGGGGAGGGAAGTTGACTTAAGAGAGTGGAGGCAGCCCGAGGAGGGCGGGGGGGTGAGATGCCAAGAGGACAGGGAAGCCGGAGAAGAGGGGTGAGCCGCCGGGAGGGAGGCTGGGGAGACGGGCGGGCCCCCCTACCCACGCCGGGCGGCCGCGCTCACCTGTGGATGTTCATCTCCCGCGGCGGGCGGTGGGCCTTGTCATAGGAGACCTTGGCGAAGACGCCGGCCACGATGACGAAGGCGATCACCCCGCAGGTGATGTAGACGGTGAAGTTGGTCTTGTCCTTCTCCGGGTCGTACTTGTTCTCGGGCCCCGGCGACACCACCTTGGTGCTGGGCGTCTGCACCCACACCGGGCTCTGGTAGTTGGTGCACTGGCGCTGATCCAGCTTCTCGTGGCGCTTCTTGCAGCAGAAGCGGTAGTAGCAGGTGCCGCAGCAGTACAGGTAGCCGCTCTCGCTGTTGTTGCACTCGAACTCCTTGTCGTACTGGCCGCTCACGTCGTAGTAGCCCCAGCACGTCTCGTAGGTGACGGCCGCGCTGGCCGCCGCTACCGCCGCCGCTGGCTGTCCCCGCCGGCTCCCCGCCTCCGGGCCGCCGGGCGCCCGGACGGTGCCGTTCAGCTCGCGGCCGCCCCGGGCCAGGGCGCCCCCGGGCCGCCGGCCCCCGACGGCCGCGGCGCCGGCGCTCAGGGTCCGGTTGGCGGTGCGGGCGCGGGCGCCCCAGGCTCCGGGCAGCAGGTCCAAGGGCTGGAGCGAGAGCAGCGGCAGNAGCAGGGGAGCGCGCGGGGCCCGACCTCACTCACTCACCATGCCCGGCTGCGACTGCAGAGGCGGCGGCGCGGCGGGCTGGCGGGTGAGCCGGAGCTGCCGGCTGGCCGCCTGCACTAGTGCCGGAGCGTGTGCGAGAGGAGCGAGGGAGACTCGCACTCACACACCCGCACACGCGGGAGCGCCGCGCGGGGAGGGGACGGCCGGGCCGGCGGGGGAGGGGAGGGGAGCGGAGGGGGGCCGCCGCTCGCCGCCGCCCACGTCTGCGCTCCCGGGCGCCCGGGGAGGGGGCGCTCCTCTCCGTGGCTGCCCGCTCGCGGCGCGAGCTCCTCACCGAAGCTCCGCGTCACCAGAGCCCAGGACTCCGGTTCATTCCCACGGCGAAGAGGGGCCCGGGAGCGGGGGGTGTCGGGAGGGGGGCGTCCCCTCTGGAGCCCGGCAGCTCCGGCCCGGCCCAGAGCTCGTGGCCGCTCCCACCCCTCCCCGGTCCGAGCGTGCGCGACCAGAGCGGGTGTTGGGGTGTCTGCGAGCCTTTGCCTCTCCCTAGTGGCGACGCTCGCAGCTGAGGGACGCGGTCAGGCCCATTGCTACAGGTTCCTAAACTGAGACCTGGGGTCACGTGGCTCGCCTGAGGTTACCGGGCCACCGGCGAGCGGGGCCTAAGCGCTCCCCGCCTTGGCACTTTGCTCTCCCACCGGTCCCCCATCCTCCGTCGTGCATATGGGCAGCCCTGGGCAGGCCTCGTTTCCTCTTTCTGAGACTTTCCCCAGAGCGTCGGGGCAGAGTTAGAAAAAGTCGCTGAGACTCAGCTTCGAAATGCCTTCGCTTTAGCTGATGGGGGCCGGCGGCCGGGGGTCGGGGTGGTGGAGAAGGGGGCGTTCCTGCGTGGTTACTGGTTGGGTCTGTAGAAAGCAGGCCTGGGTCTAACTTCAAAGCCATGAAGCCACCCAAGGGGGAGTTATAATCATCATCTGACCATGATGTGTGGGGGTGGGGGGGGCGGTGGGCATAGAGGAAAATGAGAAAGAAAAGTAACGTCCAAAATTCTGCGCACGGTCCCAGCCTGGTGAGCAAGTGCCCAGGTACTTAGGTTGAAGGCAGGGGACAGATCCTCCCCGTGTGGGCAGTAGAGATTGTCCCCAAAGCTGTCCATACAGTCCCAAGTGTGACCCGAACCAAGGACCCCAGTGCAGGAGAGGCAGAGCACATTTTCCCAATCCGGAATGCATCAACAGGTCTGAAACACGAATCCCCAGACAAGAGAGGGAAGTCTGGATCCTGGGATGGGGGGTTTCACAAACTCCCCTGGCAGCCCCCCACTTGCTACCATGTCTCCATCTCCTCCCTCTTCCCCCGCACCCTTTGCCACCCACCCCACCCCCAATTCTCTCTACTCAGCCACCGCCTTCTTTTTGATGACCGTTCAAGGAGCGTTTATTTAGTCAATCCTTTACTCCCTACCCAGGCGCTAAGCGCTGAGATAAAAGATGAACAAGACTGTCTGTTTCCTCAAGGAGGAGGAGCTTGTAAACCATTGGGCAGGCAGATAGCAGGTTGAGGACCGTATCCCTGGTTATGTCCCATGACAGAGGGGGCACAGGGTGCTCCAGGAGGCTCCCAGGAGAGGAAAGGTGGCTCAAAGGCAGCTTTCTCCATGAGGTAAGGAGCAGAGTCTCAAGAAGGACTGAAAGTTAACACAGCCAACAAGAGTGAAAGGGCACTCCCTGTCAGAGGGACCATCGCTCACAAAACCCAGCAGACAGGAAAGAATGAGGGTATGTGAGCCTGGGAGACAGCAGCTGAGCATAAACTTGGAGGGAGTCTTCCAGATAAAACTGGCAGAAGGGGGTTGCATTCCCTGCCAAAGAACTTGAATTTATCCTCCAGCCGATGGGGAACTATTGGTGGGTTTTACTCAAAGCGAAGACTGTCAGATTTATGTGTTCCCTGGATCTCTAAGTCTGCTGGAGTAAGGAACACTCGATTCAGACTCTTCTGAAAAGAGAGATGTGAAAACCTTTCTGATAATCCAGGTAAAACATGATGAAGTGGTGAAGTAGGTTTCTGGTAGTTGGTGGTCAGAGGGCAAGTCGAGGACAGCATTTAGCAATGGCCATGTTGATGTGCCCTAAGGGCCATGTAAAGAACCCTAAGTGTTGCAGTTCAGCACAAGGATTGAGCTCAAGAGAGCAGATAAGAAAATATATACATTTGAGAATCATAACATATGCTTGTGCATTTGGGAATCATAAAAACATATTCTTTACTTTCAGATTATGTGTGATTTTAAAGCCAATCACTTCCTTTTCTCTTCCCAGAGCTTTCACCTCTCCGTCATTATTCCAAAATTGCCTCTTCCGTATCTGGGAGCTTCCTAGCAATGGATGGAAATGTGCCTTCCTCATGTGGGACTCTAACAAGATTTGATTCGTGGCACTTAGTAAGGAAAATTGCTTTGTCTTTTCAGACCACCCTCACAAATATGTTCTGAATCCCTACACTCGTAGATGGTAGGTAGCATCAACAGTCTCACAGAAAATAGTAGATCTCAGAATCGAACAGGATGTTAGTGATTATCTGTTCCAACTCTTGGGGTGGCTCCGTGGTAAAAAATCCACCTGCCAATGCAGGTGACACGGGTTTGATCCCTGGGCCAGGAAGATCCCCTGGAGAAGCAAATGGCAACTCACTCCAGTATCCTTGCCTGGGAAATCACATGGACAGAGGAGCCTGGCAGGCTATAGTCCATGGGGATGCAAAAGAGTTGGACATGACTTGGCGACTAAACAATAACAAGAGTTCCAGCTCTTACCGCATGCAGTACACCTTACATTTTACTGACACTTTCCCTTTGCAGTTGACCAGGCTGGTGGTCCACTAATACTCATTATCCTCTTTCTCCTTCTAATTTCAACACCTTAGTCGTTGATAGTACGGAAACATCTTTCCTTTGTGGATGTATGTGACTTACGAAAAAGTGCCTGAGAAGCATCATCTTCCTCGACACCTGTACCAACTTCAGACCGCTCGTAGGCTCAGGAGACAGTGACCCAACCCCTGGCTCTAGAAGGTGGATCCCAGCTGGGCTGAGCCAACTCTAATAATCCCACTCCTGTTACCAGATTGGTTAAGAATGGACATGTGATCCAGTTCTGGCTAATGTGAAGTGTGGGAACTGTTGGCAGATTCTGGGGACATTTTTCTTGCTCTGCTTTTTGAAGTGTTGTTTCTATGGATGTTATGACCTTATGGGGGCAAGAGAGTGAACCAAGGAAGGACAGAAACTGGTCATTAGTTGAAATTGCCATTCAGTTTGGTAGTCATTAGTGCTACTTATGAAATATCTCTGCCCTTCCAGGCAGATGGTAAGAATTGCAATTCCTGGCCCTTTAGTGAGTAGGAGGGGAGAGTGACTTAATATACCACTGGTCAAAAATCATGAACATAGAGGGGTGGGGTGGGGAGGGAGATGGGAGGGAGGTTCAAAAGGGAGGGGATATATATATATATATATATATGTATGGCTAATTCATGTTGAGATTTGACAGAAAACAGCAAAATTCTGTAAAGCAATTATCCTTCAATAAAAAGTAAATAAATTTAAAAAAAAGAAATCATGAGCAAAGATGGTGCATGTCAGTTCTGAACCAGAGCATCCAGTTACTGCTTTAAGATACTGTAGAGCTCTCGTTTTCTCCTGGTTCAGCGAACAGCTATGCTCCAGGTGGGAGTGGCTTTGTTGGCCTGGAATGATGTCAGTGAGGAGAGCCACACAGTTAATAAAAATAGTGCCCCACCGTGGACGTGCAGCCTGAGTGAAAATACACATTGTTTTCTTAAAGCCACTGGAATTGGGTCTGTCATTGCAGTGTATCCTAACACATCCTGACTGATACACTGAAGCTCACAGAAGGGACGTCATGAAGCAATTCAGGGAGTTTTGCCCAGGGCTCTCACAATGCCAGTCTTCCAATAACATGAGATAATTAAGCTTCCTATGTCAAAGCCTCTTTGAATCCAGAGTTCTTACTACAAGCAGGCAAAGGTAATCCTGACGGATAGATCATGTATTTTCTGTCTCCATTCTGGCTTAGGGTTTCCACCAAGCCATGGCAGACAAACGATGGCCACTTCTCTTCACAAGATGTGGCATCTGTTTGTCCTCCCTTTGAGGCTAGGCCAGCCTTGTGACTTGTCTTGACTGACAGCATGTGGCGGAAGTGATGCTCAGCCAGTCTGAATATAGCCATTACGAGGCCTGGCCATGTCTTCCTTTGCATTCTTGAGGTTGAGCCACTGTATGAGAATCACAGGCTTCCTGTTACATTCAGTGGTGAGGAGTGAGGCCACCGCGTAGAGAGAGACCCTGGGGAGATGAGATGCTTGCTACCTTTGGCATCTGATTCTCAACTGAGCTCCCAGTGGAGTGAAGAAAGGACTGGACCCAAGTGAGGCCAGAAGAAGAATCATCCATCTCAGCCACAGACAACCCACAGAATCATGAGAAGTGACAGATTAGTGTTGTTGTAGGTGTCTGAAGCCACTAAGTGTTGTGATGGTTTATTACAACACAACAGACAGCTAAGGCAATTCACATATCACAGCATAGACACTGAACAGGAATGTATGAGCTGCAACTTCTGGCCACTAGATGTCTGAAGCTATTTTTCATGAGCTGCCGTGTGAGTTTACTGAAGCTGCCTTCACAAAGGACCACAAACTGGGTGGCTGGCAGAACAGAAAATGATGAGTTCACAATCCTGGAAGCTGGAAGTCTGAAATTAAGGTACGGGCAAGCTTGGTTCCTTCTAAGGACTGTGAGGGAAGGATCTCTTCTAGGTTGTACATGGCTGTCGTGTAACCCATGATGTTCTTGTATGCATGTGGGTCTCTGAGTTCCCCTCTTTTTATGAGAACATCAATCATTTTGGATTAGGGCCCACTCCAAGTACTTCATTTTAACTTTATTACCTCTGTAAAGATCCTGTGTCCAAATAAGGTCACATTCTGCGGCACTGGAGGTCAGGACTTCAACTTATGAATTTGGGGGTGGAGGAGGGGAGGCACCATTCAGCCCACACATATGATGAATGGAAGGGTGATGTGCGCTACACAACACAAGATGAAAATGTGTGTGCAAATGAAGAAGGAAAGAAAAGAGGTCAGTCAGGTTTGCCATCTTTCAGTAGAGAGATGTTAGAGAATTGCAGTTCAGGCCATGTTGGAGGTGAGTACTCTTTTTCACACCCTCTTCAAGACTGAAAGCAATTGCTCTAGTGAAAGAAGAGAGATTCCAAATAGGAAGCATGGGAAAGGGTGCTCTGTCTTCCCCTGGTGGTCCCCACCTAAAGGTAGAGTTAGGGAAGTTTGCATCCTGCATAGTTAGAACTCTAGGATTGTAGCATTTCAGAATTTGCAAGAATTCAGAGCCTCTAGACACTTTTTTCTAAGCAGACTTCTAGTTGCCCAGACAAGTGAGGGCAAAAATGATTATCCCCACGGCTAGCTTGGCTGAGGATTAACTCACATCTGCATTCATTTATTCAATCTTTATCACTTATTGTACCAATCTGCCTGCCAATGCAGGAGACGCCAGAGAGGCAGGGTCGGAAAGATCCCCTGGAGGAGGAAACGGCAACCTGCTCCAGTATTCTTGCCTGGAAAATCCCATGGACAGGGGAGTTTGGCAGGCTACAGTCCCTGGAG